ATCATACCAAGTTATACTTGTTGACAAATTTTATAAACGTAGATAATATGATCTTATTTGACTTTTAGTAATCCTAAGTACAATAAAAGTATTATACTTAATGTTGATGACTCTGAAGACATGTCTGTATTAATTAAACCAACAAACTAATTTTAATATCAAATACTAATTTAATACTTAATATTTCCCAGCTCATATGAACTTGAAATTTATTTGGGCTAACTCTTATTACATTTCTGAAAATTTATATAAATATTTAATTTTCTTTAAGTCAAGTAAATAGAGTTCATTCATAAGTTAATTTTGGCAATACCATCCAAAGTTAGAAATATATATTAATAATGTACATACATATACACACATACATCCAGATAGACACAGACAGAGAGCTCATAGTTTTCATTTTAAAATTTTGTCATGAATCAGGTACTACAATGTAAAACTCACTAGTTTATGAATAACAGTTGAAACAAGTTTACTCATTTGAGTTTAAAATGGCTTCTTCCCTCACCCTCCTTTTTTTTCCCAGTCTCAGGACTTGGAAATGGTGTAGATAAGAGTTCCCTGAGAAGACTGGTAGAACATTTACATCTCAAAGGCACAGGGGAGTTAAATGTAAGCTCCACCTAGAAAGACTTTTTGTTCCCTTAAGATCAGAATTCTAAAAAGATGTTTTATCAAGCCAGTTTTAAGGGCTTCCCTGGTGGTGCAGTTGTTGAGAGTCTGCCTGCCAATGCAGGGGACACGACACAGGTTCGTGCCACGGTCTGGGAAGATCCCACATGCCGCGGAGCGGCTGGGCCCGTGAGCCATGGCCACTGAGCCTGCGCGTCCAGAGCGGGAGAGTCCACAACAGTGAGAGGCCCGCGTACCGCAAAAAAAAAAAAAAAAAAAAAAAAGCCAGTTTTCTCCAACTGCATATGCAAAAACCAATTTGGAATGTCAATAAAGCCTTATCTTGACCATTTCAGGGCAAGATCTCCTTTAGTTCCCATTTAAGTAAGTACTGGCAAGTATATATTCCATACATACATAAATTCAGTTGGACTGTTAGTCAGCGATGGCTGTCTGGTGCCCCTTTTTTCTCCTGTTTGGGGGACTTTCCCATTTTAAAGTTGGTTTGTGAGACTATGAAAACTGTGTGGTGGGTCAGTGTGCTGTTTGTGAGCTAAACTCCTCTAGGTGTTACCCTAGAGTTATTTCACCTTTTTCATGTGTCTCAGTTTCTCCCTCTGGCAGTATAAAATTCCTCTGGGTGTTCAAAGCACTTAGAGGGCCAATCCTTATGTGTGCATCCCCAAGTAATTTTATATATTTTTTTATTTAAAAAGTTTTTAAAGATCTTTTTTTAAAATATTTATTTATTTTGGCAGTGCTGAGTCTTAGTTGTGGGATTTTCGTTGCAGCATGTGGGCTCATAGTTGCAGCGTGCAGGCTTCTTAGTTGCGGCATGCATGAGGGATCTAGTTCCCTGACCAGGGATAGAATCCAGGTCCCCTGCATTGGGAGCATGGAGTCTTCCCACTGGACCACCATGGAAGTCCCCCCAAGTAGTTTTTTATATTAATGAGTGGGTTTCCCTATGGGACTGCTGCACAGTATGAGAATTTGCTTCTACCATTCACACACACACACACACACACACACACACACACACACACACACACACTGGGGATGTGCCTTCTCACAGAAGCTCAACCACTGAGATGCTTTAGGGACTGTGCCCAAACTCCTTCATCCCCAGCCTCTCAAGATTTGACTCTGATCCCTGGCACCCCCTGGAGCTATTCCACCTTTGGAACCTTTCCCGGGTGGCAGGAGTGCCTAGCACAAGGGTTGTGACCTAAATCTGAGTACTGGCAACCCTAGAAGTCTGTTACACACAAAAAATTTATTGAGCAGTTAGGGATCCCACTGGGGACAGAAAGGGCTGGCAATAAAGGAGCATGTGAAACTCGGGGCAGGGTGCATACTGCTTAACTCTACATCCTGTTCTTGCTTCAGGGAGCAGGTCTTCCTGGGCCTTTCTATCCTGCCTCCTGAGACCCCAGGCAGAAGGCTCTTTGGGAAACCACAGATTGCTGCTTTCTGTTTCAAAAAGCCCAGCTCCCCCCTGGTTTGTGGTGGTGGCCACTGACAATGGCTCAGGGCAGGGGCCCATTTGGTAGACTGCTAAGTCTTCTTTGCACTCTGACTCTGCTCCTGCATCCTCCTTGGCTCACAGAAGGGCCCCTGAGGATTGAGCAGAGAACGTCAGGTTTTCTTCCAGGCAAGCTTCAGCCCTGGGATGTTCAGGGCAGACTCTCATTACAAACCTCAGTTTCTGAGGCTCCTTGCTTATGGCCATTTAGTGTAGAAGGAGGCTCCTGGGTGGGGAAGGCTCAGACAGAACGACGCAGGTTCTAATCTGTGGCAGTTGGCCGGGGATGGGGGGCGTCAATGCAGAAAGAGGCATTTGCTGCCTTAGGCAGTTAAGCCATTGCCCTCTCTTTACGATGGCTCACCTGCAAGATTCTGTGGGGTCCGCCTCCTGGCAGCATGCTGCAGTTGCCGGATTTTGGGTCTGGGGTAACCCAGATCTTTGTCCAACATTCCCAGAGTGTGCTTTCTCTTGAGAGCACGTCTGGGGACCGACTTCTCTGCTTCCACCTTTGCTGGCGTGGCCAAAGGAACATCCCCGTAGACCCGGTAGCCACCAACCAGGCAGTATGTCTCCCTATGCCGGCCCAACTGCGCTTCTCAAAACGCTCGGTAGAGGACAAAGTAGTGACCAGGTGTAGGAGGAGAAACGGGAGCCACTGCTGCTGCAAAGAAAATCAGAACTGATCAGTCACTTCTGCTGTGCACAGTCTCCTGCCAGTATTGCCCTCTCTCATGTCTCTCCCAGTTTCTGGCTAAAGCCATTTAATCTACTTGACATCCAAAACACAGCCTTGGCCCATCACCTCTATGAGTCCCTAGAGAAGGGACACTGGCTGCAAAAGCAATCCCTAGAGCCTACGGCTGCAGCAGATGAGGAAGTCTCCTGACCGTTCCCAGGGAAAACAGTAGAACCCGAAAGAAATTGCAATCATGATCCTCTCCATCTCTCCCTTCCACAACAGAGAAAACATTTCTTGCAGTCTGTCATTTCTGAGGTTTTAATGAAAATGTCTTTCAAGTTTTGGAAAAAAAAAATAATCTAATATAAATTGGTTAAGAACCCCCTCTGATACTTTTATGTAGATTAGAACAAGGCCAAATACTGAGGCAGAGTGATCAGGAGACTCAGAACTGGGTTCTGGGTCCCAAGTCTAGGCTCACATCAACCCAGCCTCCTGGGACACCATCTCCTCAGCCCTCCAGTCTCATTAGTACTGCATCAACCCCCCTTCGTTCTTTTGGTCTTCCCATCAATATGGCACCACCCTCTCCCCTAGTACTCAGCAACTCAGGATGGGATGTGTCTGAGGGGACCGATATAGACGCCTACATGACAGCACAGAGGTGCCTGCGTTTGAAGGTGCGGTTCAAGAGTGGCCCTCTTCCTCAAACTGCTACATTTACAATTTGCCAACAAAAATGCACTTGTCTTTTGCTAAGAGGCCAATTAGGAAAGGGTCTGAATGGAAGCATCCTGTAGCCCAAAGGGGAAGACTATATTTATAAAGATCAGAACCTTCCTGCACACTTGTCTAGGGATAACTTTTCACTTGTCCTCAGCAGTGAGCACTGTGGGTCACTGAAGATGTCCCAGGTCACAGGTATTAGAGCTGGGAAAGTGCTCAGTTGTATGTGGTGGGAAAGCCCCAGAGGAACAAGTGGCAGCCAGGGAAGGTTGTGTGTCTACCATGCATCTAGTACAGATGCCCAGTCTCGGTGTACCTGCTGCACTGTCCTCCCAGGGAGCAGAGGTTAGAGTAAATATAGAAGATCTGGTCAGATATTCTCTCTCAGACAACCAAAGAGATTGGTATCTGGTGGAGAACTTTCTCCAGGGAAAGAAGTTCCCTCCAGGGTAGGGAAGTTTCTCTGAGGGCAACACGTTTGCATAGTTACCCTGCCATGGAAACTGTCAGAAGGCCTGTGAAGGCATCACTACCCAGTGAGGTCATATAAGGAACCTTGTGACTTGAGGGGCAGGCTTCAGGAGGAGGGGCAGTTTTGTGGAGGAGAGCGGGGTGGAGTCTGCGGTAGTCTGCCTGGCCACACACACATGGGCCTTCCCACCCATGCCGTAGTCTAGTAGACACCCCACCTGGGGTGTGCCAGTGGGCTGGCCCAGCCCTAGTGGCCCCAGGAGGGAAAGAGAGACCCACATTCTCAGATTCGCTTGAGAGGCAAGATTAATGTAAGACACAGCTAGGTTGTATGACACTCACCCTAAGAGGCAGAGAATTCTGTGGACTGGTGAATCAGGGAAGGCTCCTTGGCTATGGGACAGAAGGACAAGTGAGATTTGGCCCCACAGGGAAGAGAGGGAAGACATTCCAGTTTGGAAGAATAAAAGCAAAGCACACTGTTCTCAACCTTGTCCTGGTCAAAATATAAATTCATAGTACCCTCACATTTTTACAACTGAGGACTTATAAAACCAAGAGGTTAAGGGGCCTACCCAGTGTTACACAGGTAGTGGAGAGGTGTTCTGCTCAATGGTTAGGTTCATGTTGGGGCTCCAGATTTACAGCTGATAGGAATGTGAGGACAAGCTCATGCCATTTCAAACATTTCCAAGTGATACTGAGAGAGATGTTAAAGGTGCAGAATGAGGGTGCTGAATGACCTAAAAAAGTGGGAATGGTGGGCCCATTTTAACATGAAATTGAAAACAAATTCATGACAAAAGGGCATAATACAAAATGACAGCATAATCATTACACTCCCCTCTCCCCTAGAAGTAAACAGCATTAGAATCCTCTCTCTATCCACGATGAAAGGATGAGATAAATGCTCAGCAGCAGCCCCCATGAAGAACATGGTCAACAGTGTGAAGAGGTGTTTCTAAGATGATTTGGTCCAACTCAGAGAAGGAAAGAGACAACTCTTCCCTTAGCCTGATCAGGCCCAAGGAAGGAATCACATTTGGGGCAGTCTTTGATAGTGTGGCAATGAGAGAGAACTTTCTTTAGGAGGGGACTCCCTGTTGCCGACCTTGAAAAAGCAAAGATGGGACATTCGTTTACTGGGGCTGTTGCAGAGGGGATGTGCCCAGAGGTTGGGCCACCCTGCTTGAGAATCAAAGCACCTTGTATTTCTGAGCTGCTTGAATGCTTCAATCGCCGGATTTTGGGTCTGGGGAAACCCAGGTCTTTGTCCGACCTTTCCGGAGCATGATTTCTCTTGGGAGCACGTCTGGGGACTGGCTTCTCTGCTTCCACCTTTGCTGGCGTGGCCAAAGCAACATCCCCGTAGACCCGGTAGCCACCAACCAGGAAGTATGTCTCCCCATGCCGGCCCAATTGCATTTCTCCACACCCTCGGTAGAGGACATGGTAGTGACCAGGTGTAGGAGGAGAAATGGGAGCCACTGCTGCTACAAAGAGAATCAGAAATGATCAGTCACTTCTGCTGTGCACAGTCTCCTGCCAGTATTGTCCTCTCTCATGTCTCTCCCAGTTTCTGGCTAAAGACATTTAATCTACTTGACATCCAAAACACAGCCTTGGCCCATCACTTCTATGAGTCCCTAGAGAAGGGACACTGGCTGCAAAAGCAATCCCTAGAGCCTACGGCTGCAGCAGATGAGGAAGTCTCTTGACCATTTCCAGGAAAACAGTAGAACCCAAAAGGAATTGCAATCATGATCCTCTCCATCTCTCCCTTCCACAACAGAGAAAATATCTCTTGCAGTGTGTCACTTCTGAGGTTTTAATGAAAATGTCTTTCAAGTTTTGGGAAAAAAAATAATCTAATATAAATTGGTTTAGAACCCCATCCACCTTGGCAACCCCTCTTGGGCCCCATTTATACTGCCTGTTTCAACCACACTGAAGTCTAGCCCTCTGATACTGTTGCGTAGATTAGAACAAGGCCAAATACTGAAGCAGAGTTATCAGGAGACTCAGAACCAGGTTCTGGGTACCAAGTCTAGGCTCACATCAACCCAACCTCCTGGGACACCATCTCCTCAGCCCTCCAGTCTCATTAGCACTTCATCACCCCCCCCCCCCTTCGTTCTTACGGTCTTCCCATCAATATGGCAACACCCTCTCCCCTAGTACTCAGCAACTCAGTAAGGGATGTGTCTGAGGGGACCGATATAGATGTCTACATGATAGCACAGTGGTGCCTGGGTTTGCAGGTGCGGTTCAAGAGTGGCCCTGTTCCTCAAACCGCTCCATTTACAATTTGCCAACAAAAATGCACTTGTGTTTTGTTAGGAGGCCAATCAGGAAAGGTCTGAATGAAAGCATCCTGTAGCCCAAAGGGTAAGGCTACATTTATAAAGCTCAGAACCGTCCTGCACACTTGTCCAGGGATGACCTTACACTTGTCCTCAGCAGTGAGAACTGTGCGTCCCTGAAGGTGTGCCAGGTCACCGGTATTACTTACATCTGGGAAAATGCTCCACTGTACGTAGTTGGCAACCCCCACAGGAACATGTGCCAGCCAGGTGAGGTTGTGTGTACACCACATCTCCTGTAGAGATGCTCGGTCTGGGTGTACCTGCTGCACTGCCCACCCAGGGATCAGAGCACCGGTTAGAGTACATATAGACTATACGGTCAGACTTTCTCAGACAACCAAAGAGATTGATGTCTGGTGGAGAACTGGTAGGGAAATTTCTCTGGGGACAGCACGTTTCTATAGTTACCCTGCCACAGAAACTGTCAGAAGGCCTGTGAGGGCATCACGACCCATCGAGGTCATCATATAAGGAATCTTTGACTTGAGGGGTAGGCTTCAGGAGGAGGGGCAGTTTTGTGGAGGAGAACAGGGAAGAGGCAGAGATACTCTGCCTTGGCCCTCACACCTGGGCCTCCCCACCCATGCCCTAGTCTAGTAGACACCCCAGGTGGGTCGTACCGGTGAGCTGGCACAGCCCCAGGGGCCACAGGAGGGCAAGAGTGACCCACATTCTGAGATTTGCTTGAGAGGCAAGATTAACGTAAGAGACAGCTAGGTTGCATGGCACTGACCCTAAGAGGCAGAGATTTGTGTGGCCTGGGGAATCAGGGGAGGTTCCTTGGCAGTGGGTCTGAAGGACCAGTGAGATTTGGACCCATGGGGAAGAGAGGGAAAACATTCCAGTTTGGAAGAATAAAAGCAAATACACACTCTTCTCAACCTTGATCTGCCCGAAATATAAATTCATAGCACTCTCACATTTTTACAATTGAGGAGTTAAAAATAACAAGAGGTTAAGTGGCCTACCCAGTGTTACACAGGTAGTGGAGAGGTGTTCTTCTCAATGGTTAGGGTCATGTTGGAGCTCTGGGTTTACAGCTGATACGAATGTGAGGACAAGCTCATGCCATTTCAAACATTTCCAAGTGATACTGAGAGCGATGTTAAAGGTGCAAAATGAGAGTGCTGAATGACATCACAAAGTGGGAATGGTGGGCCGATTTTAACATGAAATTGAAAACAAATTAATGACAAAAGGACATAATACAAAATGACAACATAATCACTACAGTCCCCTCTCCCCTAGAAGTAAAAATCGTTAGGATCCTCTGTTTCTCCACCATGAAAGGATGAGATGAAAGCTCAGCAGCAGCCCCCGTGAAAAACATGGTCAACAGTGTGGAGAGGTGTTACTAAGACGATTTGGTCCGACTCAGAGAAGGAAAGAGACAACTCTTCCCTTAGCCTGATCAGGGCCACAGGAAGGAACATTTGGGAAGGCTTTGATAGTGTGGCAATGAGAGAGAACCTTCTTTAGGACGGGACTCCCTGTTGCGGACCTTGAAAAAGCAAAGATGGGACATTCCTTTATTGGGGCTGTTGCAGAGGCGATGTGCCCATGAGGTAGAGACTGTTTCAACTACCATTTTAGAGGTTGAGGTACTCCGTTTGAGAATCACAGCAACTTCTATTCCTAAACTGCTCGAATCAGCGGGTGCATGTTAGGAGAGATGAAGTCAGGCCCCATTGGAGCAGACTGCCTTTGGGAGCGGTAGAATATAAAATGTGAAGGGGAATGCTCTGGGTCCATTTGTATTCTCTGCAACTTAATCCTTTCCAGTGTGCAAGCATTTTTAAGTTGTTTGGTGAAGTATTACATTTGACTTTCAACTGTTACTTTGGACAAAGCTTATATAGTGTGGCAGAGACTAAAACCTATGCAGAGATAGTGAGAGGATGTTATAAGCTTATTCTGCCAGTTTATAAAAATGTTTAACCTTTTCTCCTCTTCCTCCACCTGCCACCAAGAGATGAGAAAGAAGGCACCGCCTGGAAATGCATAGCAAGCAGTACTTCTGTGTCAGTTTGGCTTTTATCCCTCTACCAATACTTCCCAGAGAGATTTCACCAAAGGTGCCTAAGCTTGCCATGGTCATTGTTGTGAAGAAAGTTTCTCTCTATTGCTAGTCGCATCCCCTTTTCCTTCTCCGGGGGGCTAAATGGATGTTTGGGGGCAGGAAATACAATTTAAACTAAAACATCAAAAAAACACCCCCAATTGTTCAAGTTTTCTTTTTTTTTACATCTTTATTTGAGTATAATTGCTTTATAATGGTGTGTTAGTTCTGCTTCATACCAAAGTGAATCAGTTTTACATATACATATGTTCCCATATCTCTTCCCTCTTGCGTCTGCCTCCCTCCCAACCTCCCTATCCCACCCATCTAGGTGGTCACAAAGCACCGAGCTGATCTCTCTGTGCTATACAGCTGCTGCCCACTAGCTATCTATTTTACTTTTTGTAGTGTATATATGTTCATGTCACTCTCTCACTTTCTCATGTCTCACATGTCACTTTGTCATGTCCCTTCCCCTTCCCCATATCCTCAAGTCCATTCTCTAGTAGGTCTGTGTCTTTATAACTGCCTTGCCTCTAGGTTCTTCATGACATTTTTTTTTTTAAATTCTCTATATATGTGTTAGCATATGGTATTTGTCTTTCTCTTTCTGACTTACTTCACTCTGTATGACAGACTCTAGGTCCATCCACCTCATTACAAACAGCTTAATTTCATTTCTTTTTATGGCTGAGTAATATTCCACTGTATATATGTGCCACATCTTCTTTATCCATTCATCCAATGATGGACACTTAGGTTGTTTCCATCTCCCGGCTATTGTAAATAGAGCTGCAATGAACATTTTGGTACATGACACTTTTTGAATTATGGTTTTCTCAGGGTATATGCCCAGTAGTGGGATTGCTGGGTCATATGGTAGTTCTATTTGTAGTTTTCTCAGGAACCTCCATACTGTTCTCCATAGTGGCTGTACCAATTCACATTCCCCCCAGCAGAGCAAGAGTGTTTCCTTTTCTCCACACTCTCTCCAGCATTTCTTTTTTCTAGATTTTTTGATGATGGCCATTCTGACTGGTGTGCAATGATATCTCACTGTAGTTTTGATTTGCATTTCTCTAATGTTTAATGATGTTGAGGATTCTTTCATGTATTTGTTGGCAGTCTATATATTTTCTTTGGAGAAATGTCTATTTATGTCTTCTGTCCATTTTTGGATTGGGTTTTTTTGGGGTTTTTGTTATTGAGCTGCATGAGCTGCTTGTAAATTTTGGAGATTAATCCTTTGTCAGTTGCTTCATGTGCAACTATTTTCTCCCATTCTGAGGGTTGTCTTTTCATCTTGTTTATGGTTTCCTTTGCTGTACAAAAGCTTTTAAGTTTTATTAGGTCCCATTTGTTTATTTTTGTTTTTATTTCCATTTCTCTAGGAAGTAGATCAAAAGGATCTTGCTGTGATTTATGCCATAGAGTGTTCTGCCTATGTTTTCCTCTAAGAATTTGATAGTTTCTGGCCTTATATTTATGTCTTTAATCCATTTTGGGCTTATTTTTTGTATGCTGTTAGGGAGTGATCTAATCTCATACTTTGACATGTACCTCTCCACTTTTCCCAGCACCACTTATTGAAGAGGCTGTCCTTTCTCCACTGTACATTCCTACCTCCTTTATCAAAGATAAGATGACCATATGTGCATGGGTTTATCTCTGGGCTTTCTATCTTGTTCCATTGATCTATATTTCTATTTTTTTTTTTTGTCAGCACCATATTGCCTTGATTACTGTAGCTTTGTAGTATAGTCTGAAGTCAGGGAGCCTGATTCCTCCAGCTCCGTTTTTCGTTCTCAAGATTGCTTTGGCTATTCAGGGTCTTTTGTGTTTCCATACAAATTGTGAAATTTTTTGTTCTAGTT